GACTCCACCACTGCCCTGGGCAGCCTGGCACAGCCCTGGGCAACCCTCCAGGGCAAGAAATTGTTCCTCAGCTCCAACCTAAACCTCCCCTGGGGCAACTTGAGGCTGTTTCCACTTGTCCTGTTGCTTGTTCCTTGGGAGAGGACCTCCTGTCAGAGTTGTCAAAGTCAGAACATCCCCCCTGAGCCTCCTTTGCCCCAGCCCTGCACTGGGGAGCAGTGGGAGGGTGATATGGGGTGAGGACCTGGGTGTCAGAGCAGTGGGGGGCTGTGAACCCCGGCTGGAAGGGTTGATGCTGGGAGCCCAGTCTGGCTCACCCACAGCCACTCCCCTCCTGGTTCTGCTGGGCTGGAGCCCAGGCCAGGGGCTGCAGGCTGTTAGCACTTAGCCAGGGGCAAAAGCTGGAGCTGAGCTGGCTCCAGGAGTGTCCCAGACAGTAACCATCCTGCTCACTGCCAGGGGGGAAGGCTGGGGAGGATGGGAGCTCCTGCTCCTCCTCCTCCTCCAGGTTTGCTGTCCCTGGAGGGGCTCAGTCCTCATCCTGCTCCCCAGGACTGCCCTTGCCTGTTGTGGGCCCTGTACTGGGCTGGGTGGAACTTCATCTGCTTTCCTTTGGCAGTGGCATGAACACTGGGTTGGCTGTTCTGTTAAATCTGTTTTCATTTCCACAGGTCTCCTCTACTTCTCCTGACTCCACCTTTTTGGCTAAGTCTTCTTGACCCTGAAAGGTCCCTTCCAACCCAACCCACTCCACAGAGCTGATTGTATGATCAGGGGCTGTGGTGAAGATGCTTTTTTGCTTTTATTAGTGTTTTTCTCAGGGGCCAAGCTGCACCCACAGCCTCCCTCTGCCAGATGGCAAATGCCTGTGCCCACTGCCTCTGCTTCTGGCCTGAGTGAGGCAGAGACAGGAGAAAAGCCCTCAAGGGAAGGTCCCAGAGCATCTCTTGCTGCCTTTCCTTCCCCCAGCCCTTGCTCAGGGAAGGAGCAGCTCCAGACCACCCCCCAGCAGGTGTGTGACACCCAGGAGCAGACAGCACCCATCCAAACAAGGCCTGGATGCTGCACAGCAGCTGAGGAGGAGGGGCTGGGGCTGCCCCTGCTCTACAGGACAACTCCTGCTGGGAGCTGGAGCCTGAAGATCTCTCCTGGCCTGAGTCCTGTCCATGAAACAGATCCCTCTGCCAGCCAGCCCAGCACCTCTGGCTGCAGGACTGGGCAACCATCTGCTCTGGGACTGCTGGAGGCAGCAGCACTTCTAAAAACATCAAACTTTTATTGGGTTTTGGATGGCAGCTGAGCAGCCCCACTCCCCCACAGGCACCCTCCTGACTCCAGGCCACGGGGAAGGGTCTCCTCTCCTCAGCACTACCTGTAGGAATTTGCCTTGTGTTTGGGCAGGAAGGTGAAGTTGGTAGGTACAGGTCCCAGAAGCAGCTCACTGGAGGGGGAAAAAAAGGTAAAGAAAACATCAAAACAGAAACTGAAGAGAGGTTTGGGCTCAGCAGGACAGAGCTGCTGCTCCTCTGCTGTCCCACAGCCCTGTGGATGTGTCAGATCAACCTCCACCCTCCCCAGAATTTAGGGCTGCTGCACAAAACCACATCTGGTGCTGCACTTTCCCCCTGAACCACAGGGATGCAGCCCCCAGGGGTGGGCGAGGGCCTTTGTGCTGAGCAGTCACCCAAGAGTTGATGCCAAAGTGGGTTCCTAAGCCTGGTGAGCTCAGCACCAGCCTCACCACAGGCCTACCACCAACAGGAGCCTCTGGAAAAGCTCCTCCACACCCCAAACCCCTGTTAGTGCCCAGAAGTATGAAGGCTGGCTCTGAAAATGATGGGAGCTGGTTGCCCAGGGCTGTGATTTACCCCAGCTCAAGGCTGCAGCCCTGGCACACTCAGAACACTCCTTGTACTGTCACTGCAGAGTCTTTTTTTACAGTCAAGGAGCTTTAACTTCTTTCCTGGCTGCTGCTTCAACACAGCACCACTAAAACATTCCAGCAGACACATCAGGGAGCAGCTCAGCAGGACAGGGAACATCAGAGCCTGAACCTGCAGCACAAAAGCAGAGCCTGAGCGTGCTCAGAGGACTCTGCTTCTGGGCAGCAGCTCCTTAGGTGGATTTGTTCAAGTTCATTCTGAATTGCTTTTAAATGTTGAGGTCTTATGGCTGGAAATGTCTGTCAGGGGGCACTGTGAAGGCTGCAGGGTTCACAGCCTTGTGCAGCCACACGTGGGCAGGTTCTGCTTGAGAAAGGGGCACCTAAAACTTCTGATTAAAACCCGATGGGCTTCTAAGGTGGGTTTGGCTGCCAGAACACCAAAGGCAGAGGAGGTTGGGGTTTTTTTTTCTCTGTTTTTTTCCTAATCTCTGTTTCCATGAGCTGGGGAATAGCAGCTGGCTGCTCCAGCTCTCCTTTAGCTGGCTCTGAACTTGCAGAGCACTTCAAGCCAGTGCCTGAGGACTTGTAGGTGTGGGGGGAAAACAGTTTCTTGCACTTTCTTGCATGGACTCTGAAATCAGGTCATGAAAAATGGGGGAAATTCTCAGCTCTCCTGACCTGGGGGCAGGGAATGTCCTCCTGCCTTCCTGCCTGGTGGCTGCGTGGGACTGTCTGGGCAGAGCACAGAGGGAGCTGATGCTGAGAGCCCAAGATCTCCCATCTCTGCCCTCTCCTCTGGTGGTTCCTAAGACTGGCCTGGGATGATCAGTGTGTCCTGGGAGCAGTGAGCTGCTCAGAGCTGCAGCAGGTACTGGGTGACCTGCAGAAGCAGAGGGATTGAGAGAGCTCTTTGTGGGGACTCCAAACTCAGTTAAAACCTTGGTGTAAAGCTCTGGTTACCCCCAGCTGCTTTCTTACAGCCTCTGAAACCAAGAAGGCCAAGGATTCTCCTGAGGTGCATTAAGAGTGTGCCCAGCAGGTCAAGGGAGTTCTCCTCCCCCTTCTAATCTGACTTGGTGAGGCCACCTCTGGAGCACTGGGTCCAGTTCTGAGCTCCCCAGTTCAGGAGAGACAAGGAGCTACTGGGGAGAGTCTGGGGGAGGCTACAGAGATGCTGAGGGGCTGGAGCATCCCTGGGACCAGGACAGGCTGAGAGCCCTGGGGCTGTTCAGCTGGAGAAGCCTCAGAGGGGATCTGATCAATGCTGAGCAAGAGCTAAAGGGCCCCCGGGGGGCAAGAGGCTGGGGCCAGACTCTGTCAGTGGTGCCCAGGGACAGGACAAGGGGCAACGGGCACCAACTGGAACCCAGGAGGTGCCACCTGAGCAGGAGGAGAAACTTCTTTGGGGTGAGGGTGGCCGAGCCTGGAGCAGCTGCCCAGAGAGGCTGTGGAGTCTCCTGCTCTGGAGAGATCCCAAACCCTCCTGGCTGTGACCCTGGGCACCCTGCTGGGGGTGAGCTGCTGGAGCAGGGGGTTGGAGGAGATGATCCCCAGAGGTCCCTTCCAGCTCCCACCAGACTGTGACTCTGTAAAACTGATGGGGAAGACCCATCACCCCCTTTTTTTGGAGGGTGCAGGCAGGCACAGGGACTCCATGGGGCTCTGTGATGTCCCTTCCTCACCAATGCAATTCAATTCACTGCTCTATAACCTTATTCTGATCCAATCCTCCACGTTCTGACTCGCCATCAGGGTCTCCAGGTAGTCTCTCCCCAGGTAGTAAGGTGGCCGCTCGTTAATTTTCTGAGGTAGGTGTTCTAATAAACCCACTGGAATGTACCTGCAAGGAAATGGAAGGGCAGCACGTGCTGTGGCCCAAACAGCTCAGGCTTGGTGGGCTCAAGGTCCTCTCCCACGGGGAGAATTACCTGCAGAGGAAGGAGAGCCACTCCAGCAGGAACTTCCTGGTCTTCTCCACTCCCTGAGTGTCTGACCCCCAGTGCTCAAGGCCATAGTGGGTGAAGTCTCTGAGGATTTCAAACCTCTCACTGGAGGAGATATCCCAGTGTCTCTGTTCCTTAATTTCAGTGAAAAGCCAGGGTTTGATCAGTGCCCCTCTGCAGGCAACAAAAAAAAGGGAAGTTATCCCCAGGACTGATGCTTCTGAAGGTGCCAAGTGAGTTAAGAGACTTCCCAGCACTTCTTTGCCCACCAGTGCTGCTTTAAATCCTTTTTTTTTTTCCCATTTTCATCAGGAAGCTGCTGTTAGTTCCCCCCAACACAAACTGACCTCACCAAGTGCCCACCAATGCTGCTTTAAATCCTTTTTTTTCCCATTTTCATCAGGAAGCTGCTGTTAGTTCCCCCCTGACACAAACTGACCTCACCAAGAGAGAACAGTTTCACCGAGAAGCTTCTCATGTTTGGGGTCTATTTAGGGTTTGGGGGGGGTTTAAAATGCCTTTTTCGCTGACAGAGGTGAGCAGTGGAGGCAGAGGGGCACTTGCCTTGCAATCATGATGCCTGAGACCCCCGTCTGCATGGCTCTGTTGGCGTCTTCATAGGACAGGATGTCACCATTTCCTGCCCAGGAGGGAGGGAGAAGCCACAGGTCAAAGTGACACCCGAGGGCAAGTCAAAATGAGGCAATCCAGACATGGGATAAAATTCCCAATGGACACAGCAGCCAAGAGGAAGATTAGCCAAAAGGGTCTGGAGCTTCTGTTTAGAGGCTCCAAGGGATGTTTGTGATGTTGCCCTTAAAGGGAAAGCAGAGTCTCTCTTCTCCTCCACCCCCAAGTGTTATCCTGAAGGTTTAGCTGGGAGTGGCTGCACCGTGGTGCCTAAGGGAGAAAGTACCTGCCCAGGTGGCCAAGGTGGCCACCAGCATCCTGGCTTGGAGCAGCACTAGTGTGGCCAGCAGGAGCAGGGCAGGGATTGCCCCCCCAGACTTAGCACTGGGGAGGCCCCACCTCAAATC